GAATATCACATAGGACCAGATTTTTCTAACAGAAAACGTTTTATAATTCAATGCTATAATTTGTTGTGCAAAGGAAGCGCGTGCTTTGATCGTCGTGGATATTGAATGAGTGCAAATTCTCGTGCAAAATTGTGAAAAACTGCAGAATTATACGTTTAAATAGGGCAAAAAAGAACAAATTCTGTCCGAGGTCTGTGTACTGTTTACCTGAGACGTGATGAGAAAAAGTATGTTTAAAAGGATGGTTTACACGCCACCAGATTCGTCGCCAAGATTTACTCGTAAACTAAACTTGTCGAACACCAAAAATCCGGCCTGATTTTTATTTTGGCCTCTCTTTTAGACAGAGGAATGCAACGTGTAAATTGGCTGCCACCAAGGACTATCGTGGCGCATGTGTTTCTTAAAATTATATTTCGGAGTTGTCCAATTATCCATAGTCTCTCTAACGGAGTAATGTTGGAGAGACTGGTGAATGCCACATTATGATGCTACAGCTAATGCAAATACAATACACGAATAGGTCTATTTGTTTTCGGGTGTCTGTAAAACGCGGACCGGATACCTGCGGATGGCGGATGCGGATGGCGGATGCGGATGGGAAAATGCGGATGGAAAAATGCGAATGGAAAAAAATGCGGATAACAAAAAAAGTAAGAAGGAAAAAACGAGAAATGCGGATGGCAAAAAAACATAAATAAATAAACAAACAAACAAAGGAAAGAAATCTTTCTTTCAAGTCGCTGTCACATGGTTGGACCCTTCACTTACATACAGAACGTGATGCCAATAGTTGACACAGTTATTTTGTACCCTGTAATTCCTTTCATTAATGTCACAGAAATAAGGACGCTCCGTTCCTCCTCCTTAAATGCACACATACTTGGTGCACTTCTCCTTTGAGTGTTTAGCTTAAGGCTTTTAGGCGAGGTAAACAGCTCAAAAAATCGGCTAGCAAAGGAGGTCTCTGCAAAACGAGGACCGGATACCTGCGGATGGCGGATGCGGATGGGAAAATGAGGATAGAAAAAAATTGTGAACAAAAACAAAGAAACACAAATTTGGATATATAAATTGTGTCACTAAAACATTTCTTAACAAAACAAAACGCGTATAACGTTGTTCGGATAACAACAACAGAAAAGGACTGAATTTCCTCAAATTAAAAGAAAATTAGAGAAAACAAACTAAACCAAAAAATAGGGTGAGCTACGCGAAAAAATCGGCGTGCTTTGCGTCGCCTATTTCACGCTTGCCTCCGCTAAATCGCCATGTTTCCTCACAAAGGAGCCTGATCTTCAAAAGGGCTGATAATACAAATCAACTTTCGCTCTGCCTTGACTCTGGTCGACTCTGCCATAGCAGACAGTTCAGAGACTGATTGTGAACTGCAGACACCCGCAGAAGCCCGTTTTTGAGATCAAAAGCTAAGCTATTGTTACACTAGTGGTCTTCTGTTACACAATGTCCTCTCGGTTTTGTGTGAATCGGTCTTGTTTAATGAGGGTTTTTCTACAGAAATTCATTTTCAAGCAATATGCCGCACCCTCAACGAAGTCATTTTTCTGGCCTTCGTTCCATTTTCACAGTTTTACGAAAAGCTTCCATCAACATATAAAAAATGCTGATCTGGTGTAGACATAGCTAAAAAATTTATATAGTCTTCTTAAGAAGCAGCTTGGTTTTTTTCTGATTTTTAATAATTAAACATCTTTCCATGTAGAAAAAATATGTTTGGTTGCTGCTTCGCAGATAGACGGAGCGGGCCAAATAATTCGAATATTATAAATTATTTTCGATTCCGAATTCTGCCCTTCACGCTTTTAAAAACGAGTTTTAAGTTGCTCGATACAGATGTTCTAAAAACTCACTGAGGATATGTTTTCGAAACTATTTTGCTAGCAGAAAAATTCGAAACAAAAACAAATGAAACAGAAAGTAGCCTTCATTAATGCGTTTCCACGCGACACTTTTTTGCGGGAGTTTAATTTAGCAGATTATTTTTACACCTTTTCGGGAAATAATCAGGCGGATCAGGCGGAGTTGATTGGCATCTGCCAAATCGGAACGTTCGGCCTTTTTTCTGGTTGATACGGCAATTTTTTCTGTCTTGAACCGCTCAAACAAACAAGTCTTGATTTGATTGCCCTGAGAATATTCTTTCTGTAAGTTGAGTGCACTATATCCAGTGAGAGCAAAGAAATCATGCCTCCCCTTCTTAGCGTGATAACAATGAAATTCCTAATAAAGTAAATGTTAAAAAAAATAGCGATCACTCCCGAAAGTAAAGACAGACTGCTTCGTGAATTACACCGCTTTAGGATGCTGGTATGGTAATATTCTGCATTCTGACCCGTGATTGCAGGGACCACTGGCTCCTTATTTGGTAAAGAGGAGAATATTAAACGGGGCCAGTGCAAAATAAGCAAACCTTTGCTAGCCGATTTTTTGAGCTGTTTACGTTGCCTGCAAACCTTAGGCTAAACACTCAAAGGAGAAGTGCACCAAGTATGTGTGCATTTAAGGAGGAGGAACGGAGCGTCCTTAATGAAAGGAATTACAGGGTACAAAACAACTGTGTCAACTATTGGCATCACGTTCTGTATGTAAGTGAAGGGTTCAACCATGTGAAAGCGACTTGAAAGAAAGATTTCTTTCCTTAATTGTTTGTTTGTTTATTTTATTATTATTATTATTTTTTTGCCATCCACATTTCTCTTTTTTTTCTTCTTACTTTTTCTGCTATCCGCATTTTTTTTTTCCATCCGCATTTTTCTATCCGCATTTTCCCATCCGCATCCGCCATCCGCAGGTATCCGGTCCGCGTTTTACAGACACCCATTTGTTTTCCAGGCCTAATCTACTGTGATCGAACATGATTGCTATTTTTCGGTGTACAAATAACTTGATGTAAAATTTGTTTCACTCTTGGACGGTCAAATTCTGATTTTTCTCTAAAATCACTCAGCCTTTGCCTCAAAAGTCAAATGAATGTGCCCTGATCTGTGGATTACAAGTTCATTGTTTGATTTAAATTATGAATTTATTAACGGGAGCTTCGCTTTTAGCCCTGGCTAAATCTATATATTATTTCATAAGCTTGGGTACATGAATGTGCAGCATTGGTCTTTATGATGGTCTACACGAATTATCCCCTGGCCCTTATCCCTACCTGAACGTAATTCTGTCTACATGAAAATATTTTCTGTAATTCGGCGGAGGAATCTCTTCCCTGAGAACCTTATCAACAAATATATTTCTGAATATATTCAGACAGCAGTCAAGGGAGGGAAAACACAGCTTCATTCAGACCATTTCAGGAGAAACTACAAATAATAGTGTCTTTATAAATAGAGGATATTACATGGCCGCGCGGAGTATCTCCAAGAGGCCATGTAATGTTCTATTTATTATATAAACACCAACGAAATACCAAACCATTTCACTTTAATAGTTTTTTGGTGTAAAAGGCGCGATTTATTATGTAGCCATAGCAAAAGGTGATATTTTCACATGTGAAGCCGAGAGAGATAACATGTTATTTTCACATATGTGAAGATATCAAGTTTTCGCGCGAAAGCTCATCTGGTATTTCATTGGTGTTTATATAATAAGAAGTACTATTTTCCGAGTTTTCTTATATTTCTGAACAAAGGCTCCTAGGTAATATATCTTTCCTAGTCTGGTATGCTATTTGAGTATACGCGTGAACTGAGCACTTTTTGGGGCTATCTTTTTCCTTACTAGGCGAGAGTTAAATTCTAGTTTGGGGCACAACGAGGAAGTTTTTTAAATCTTGTGGCTACAGAAGAAATAGCTACTTTCGCATAACTAGGCAAGTTTAAAGATAATAAAACTTCAGTGAAAGTTTTCCCTGCTTTATAGCTTATGTCTATTCGCTTACATTTACACCTACATGGTAATATCTGTGGTACTTAAAGTGCTGTTATTCAAAAAGTTACGTCATTGAATTGCACAGAGGGTTGAACAGAATACTCCTAAATCGTGACTGGGACGGGCTATTACAAAGTATATTTAAGGCAAAAACTGGTTAATAGGCAAAATCAAACTATAGGCAAGTTAAAAGATAACGGACTGATTATAATGAAGAATTTGATCTCGCATCATGCAAAAACCGGTTCTGAACAAATAGGGCAAGAGAAATGTGTGACGGTTCCTTCAAAGAAATAATGTGTGTGCGGTAATTGATTAATTATACTTCACAGAGCCTCCTGTATACAAGCCTCCCCTAAAGTTACCTAGTTCAAGTACCATCAGCACCATCGGTAAGAAAATCAAAGAAAGAATAACTTCTAGATTTGGAGAATAGACGACTGAAGAAAGCGTTTGCCAATATACATCTGATCATCAAGACTTTTTGATTGTGTAGAAGTAGTAATATCCAATCTTTGAGATTAATTTACTCTTAATTGCTGGTACAATAATGCGACCTTAGTTCACACACAAACTCTCCACGACACTAAAACTAGTAATACGGAAGCTATCTAAGATCGCTTGACTCCTACAACTCTACGACCGTTAAATTATGAACTCTTTTTTTAATGATTTTACTCTTTTTGGCCTAGATTTAGCAAGACTGAGATACGCCTTCATGCTAGGACTGAAGTTGCCTTACAATTGTACTTTTCTTGACACTAAGTTCAATACCTGCAGCGAACATTCCTTGGACTGCTCATAAGCTTTTAAGACTTTTACCTGAATTGTGGCTAGCTCAACCACTTTTTATAGGATTTATTTAGCGTAATAGCTAGAGGCAATCAAGTCAATGATTTAAAAGCTAAAGACGACAACCCGTATTTGATTTCGTTTGACAAGTAATTGTAGGTCCGGCAATATCGGTGGATAATAGCTGAGCGTGGCAATGTTTATTCTGAGTGCACAATATGACCAGAAATCTGTTCACGTGACCCGCACTTGTTACTTGTTAACTTCTTCCTTTCTCATTAGAGTGCCACAAAGTGCTGGACTTGGGTATCCTTATGGACTCTTCATACACCATATCCCCATCACTTTGGGAAAAGGAAAAGTCAATCGCCCTCACTCTGATGGATAAACTTGATATATCTCCTCTTGGGATACACGTGGGTGTCATGACGTTAAACTCAGAGGTAGACTTTCCTATCGCTTTTAATGGTTATGCAGATGCTGCTGATTTGAAGACCAAAGTAAGGCAACTACAATATCACACCGGTTGGTCACGCACAGACCTTGGTTTGGCTGCCGTTAAAAATCGGATGTTTGCTGCACAGGCCGGGCTCAGGGATATACGTCTGGTTCCGAAAGTGCTTGTGGTATTAAGTAACGGAAGGACAGATGGTAAGCCTCCACAATGCAAAGATTACTCTCAAGACTGGTAATAATTGCTTAACTGAATCTCGCGCGTGTCCTTGAAATAAAAACAAATTAGATGAACTTCATGAAATTTTTTAGGGTCCCAGGATCAAAATGTGAACTGGGCACAGAGGGTCAAAGACGCCGCAGATGATCTGAAGCGTGCTAGAGTCAAAATTGTGTGCGTTCAGATTGGAGAAAATCTGAGTCAAGATCTTGTGAGGATAGCAAGCGGGACATCTCTAGTCTTTGGGCAATCTGACATTGAAGGCTTGGTAGGGACGATTGTTGACATGTGTGGAGAAATGTGCGGTAAGACTGAGTTTAAGGGGTGATTTGGTCAATCGTAACTTTAAGGGCACCTTCTACTTTATAATGGCTTCAGGAAGCAAGTTGCTGATCAGATTAGTATTTAGCAATAGTGGATGAGGCTGAGTATGACATTAAGAAGTACTATGCAGATCCCGCAGGGTGTTATTCGCCTCGGCCAATATTACCCTCCAAGATCTGAAAAAAAATTCGAATTCAATAAATATTTTATCATTTATTTAAAGATATTTGATAAAAATGCTTACCTCGATCGATGTGTTACTGAACATTCCTGTCTTCAAATGATTGTCAGCATTTCCCTTGCACATATTCTTCAAATAGCAGCTGAGGGTCCGAATGTGGTGGTAGCTCTGACGGTTGACGTTTAACAGTTATTAGACCTTACAGAAGTGGAAATTTACTACGAGAGTTTTAGTTAAGATAAACTTCTATATATATTTATATAAACAAGTGTGTTTTGGAGGTTGTCTTGGCCTTTCACTTATAAAATTTTGAAATAATTTCAGATATTAGCAAGCTCCAAGGTCGTGTAATGTCTGCAAGGAGTCGGTTTTTGAGAACATAGGAACTGGTTTTCTAGTTTGGAGATTCTTCAGGAGCCAGAAGTCCACGAAGATCAGCTGAAATACTAAAAAAAAGCAAGATTTGAAATGCCTTAAAATGCTGGTGGTTAACATCAATCTGCATTTTTGACGGGTGACGCTAAAAAATTACCTTTTTAGGCCGTTTGACGGCTGACGGTTAATGCCATTGAGACCCTCGCAGCATCTGTCGAGTGGTATTCATCTGTTATTGCTATGTTTTGGGGTAATGTTCGGCTATTTCCTCTTCGCAGAACGTGTGAAACTTATTCGCCATTTTCTTCAGCTCTACCAGCTGACCTACCTGGCCTTTTGATGTCCCTTAACTGTGCATGTGACTCATCCTTGATGATATTGGGGAACATCTTCAGAAATGGCCAACGATAGCTAGTTAAGAAGAATTAGCCGGAAAATTCAAGTCGTTCCAAAACGGAGAAATATTTTGAATGAATGAAGATATCGATTACTAGTCACTACTAGTAAGAGCTGATTCGAGGGGAAAGATTTTCACCGTTTGGCATTGTGATGACCTCTTGTTGAAGCTATTAGTCACCATAAGAGTGAAATATATTTATTCCCTCAGCAGTTATGTAACCATTATGAAGTCAAAAGGAAAGCATACAAAATGTTTTCTTTTGTAAATTTCCCCCAAATTATAGCCATATTTGAATTATTACGACTTTTACAATTCTTTTCCGTTGGTGGTTTATTATAAGTTTACAATTTTAGTCTTTTAGCGCGTGAGTTTTACACCTGTCCAGGTTATTAACACAGTGTTTGGGTCTCTCTCCTGGTTAATTAATCAGCCGACGCGGTTCTATAAAGTTCAGTGTCAATATAATATGTAACATTTTGCAGCAGTCTGTGACATGACCAGAAGCTGTCTGCGGCGGACGTATTCATTTAAGTGAGACACCACATATATTTCAGAAAATGGCATAATCCATTATGTCTACCAAGTGAGACACAGAAGTCGCTGGTAACGTTCCAGAAAATCTCTTTGAAAACTAAGCTAAAGGTGTGCCGACAGCAAAATATTTGCTTACCCTTGACATGAGTGAGAAGCATATTTCAATGCTTGGGTATGAATGTTTCCTGTTTTAACTTTTTTTTAAAAATCAATTGTCTGCTTTTATTTTTAAGGAAAGATGGGAAACTCTTCAACACTACCTGCGACCACTGCGTTGCCACCACCAGCGAAAACCTCATTTCCTGCAATGGCTCCTCAACCTAGACCTGTACCCGTGCCCGCGCCTGCACCCTTTCCAGCACCAATCCCCGCACCCTTACCGGCGCCCATGCCGCAGACCTCACCATATCCAGTAGCACCTGCCGTCCCTCCGGGCGCATGTCAGGTTCCTCAGTGTACTTTCCCTTCAGTTTGCATTACAGCTGAAATCTATCAAACATGCGTCGCTCCTACGTCGTCATCCACTGGCAACACCACTTGTTCAACACCTGGTCCGTGTCGTACCACCTTTACCAGGACAGCAACGGACACAACAACTTTGACCAACACCCAGACATTAACAAGCACCGAGGTTGCCACCATTACAAGCACGGATATAGCGACACAGACAAGTACAGCGTATGCGACAAAGACTTATACTCAAACTGATGTGTTGACTACTACAAGCACTGAGGCCGTTACAACCACGCATCATACCACAGAGACCAACACGGCTATTTTGACCAGTCACGTGCCTGTTACGAAAACTTTGACTACGACCAGTACTGATGTGTTCAACACTACAAACATTGATACTCTCACCAGCACTGCAACAATTAATACTACCAACACTGCACTAGTTACAAGCACACGGTATGAAACTAAGACGAATACAGCTGTGGCAACAAGTACTGCAACAGTCACGTCCACTACTGTTGTCAAAGCTACCACTACACTGACCACAACAAGCACTGGAAGGGCAACGAGTACCTTAGTAACCACGGCAACTAAGACAAACATTGTCAACGCAACTCAATATGCCACTGAGACTCTAAAAAAGATTTTGACTACTATAGCAACCTCGACCAGTGTAGTTACAACATGTAGCGCCAACTGTACTGTGATAGGTAAATTTTATTTTTTTGGAACATAGCTACTTATACCTAAGATGTTTGCAGCCAACTGAAACGGAAGTGTTTATTTAAAGTATAACTTCGTGCGCGTTCTGAAAGTCACTGGAATTTTAACACAGGCACACAGTCCAGACTTCTGTGGGAGAGGGCGTTTTTTGGTTGCAATTTTGCATTTTGTTGAACTCAAAACTTTTATTCATTGTTTACTAGTAAAGGTAATCAAAAACCACTTATCATATGATTACCTTATACTTTTTGCGGAGTCTCCATGACATGTCCATCTTTTCGAAGAGCACTGAATGGCATCAAGTGTCTTAGATGTGTCGTTACCCAGAAAAAGGTCCTTTATGATTTCTGACCTCATTTATCCATAACAACTAATCGGTTTTGTTCTTTAAAATTGTAATGTTTCTTTTAGGACCTTCACCGACGTCTACATCCTCTGTAACGCCATCTGTAATAGGAGAACAAGGCAAGCCAGTACTATTATTCTTGAATAAAGGGAATTTTGTGACGAGGTCATAAGAAAGCGTAATTAGTCGTACGTTGCATCGTGAAGTTATGCAACTAACCAACTTTACGAAAAGCATGTGTTTTAAGTCAGTTTTGGGTTCTGTCGCTGTAGCAGCAATGCTAAAGGTACTACCCTGATAGGTAAAAAGCGGTCCTTTAAAGGAATACTGATAGAGTTTCATTCATTCATTCATTCATTCATTCATCCATCCATCCATCCATCCATCCATCCATCCATCCATCCATCCATCCATCCCTCCCTCCCTCCCTTCCTTCCTTCCTTCCTTCCTTCCTTCCTTCCTTCCTTCCTTCCTTCCTTCCTTCCTTCCTTCCTTCCTTCCTTCCTTCCTTCCTTCCTTCATTCAGTCAGTCAGTTAGTCATTCAGTCATTTGCTCATTCAGGCCCCGTCAACAAGAATCCGAATATTTTTGAAATTGCAAACTATTTTTATGCGAAGAAGCTCTCGGCCCAAACCAAACCAGTGAATCCACTCACCGAAACTGCATCCTTTGGAAAGCGCTCTCCAGAATGTTTTAAGGCCCCATTCACACGAATCCGAGTTAAAAATATACGGATTGAAAAATGTCCCGATTCAGGTTGACGTGGCTACATTCATTTAGTGCCTGGCCCCTTTCACTTTTTTTTGTAATTTACATCGAAATTAAAAAAAGGTATGTCTGTCATTTCCCTTTATTCCTCATGCACATTTCACTAAATCATGTCATTTTGAATAAGTTAATTATTTATCTGGCATATCATGCTAACTTCGAACACAGAGAAATAGACAGAAATCAATAATTAACATTTCGTCCGTGGGGTGAAAATATTAAGTTTATTGAATTAACCCATCTAAGGCCCCGTCCACCCTAATCTGGATAAACTGAAACCGCACACTTAGGCATCGTCCACATGAATCAGGACAATTTTAAAACTTCATATTTTTCTCCCGGATTGGTGTGAATGGGACCTTAAACGACTCTGGAAAGTGGTTTCACAAAAATACGGTTTCATTGAATGGTTTCTTGTGGACTAAATGCGAGTCAAAGGCCGAGTCGTGTAAAAAATTAATATAAAAAAAGATACAACTTCAGATTAGATTGGATTGAGGCCTTAACCAAGTTTGACCGTACAGCTTGTACTAGTGACAAAGCAGTTGGGCGCTCATCCAGACCTTTAGATATGCAAGAGGGGTCCCGGCCTCAACAGTATTACATCTTGGCACTGCGGCGAGCTTTAGTTTGACCTTAAAATTAAAACAGGGGCACTCAACGACCGAACGTTTCCAAATACGTCAGAAGTATCTCAAATGCTTTTCTGTACGCTTTGGAAGCCCGTTTGGAGCTGCTTTAAAAATCATTTATGAGTTCTGATGTCAGTTAAAACGTCTCATTTAAAACTGACATAGTTGAATGAAATGGAGCAGCCGTATTTTCGTCAAACTAAGATTCTATGGGAACATTTGTTTTTATATCGAAATTTTCAAGGGATCTTTTTAACAACAATCGCAATTTCTTGGTGATTAAAAGTGAAAAGCACAATCTCCGAAAACTAAGTAGGTAATTAAATAGAAATGCTGAATTTCTTAGACAAGCGTAACGACAGACATTTTTAGCTTTTCTCGAGTTTAAGGATTTCTTAGCAATATTCAACCCTACTTTGCAAATTACAAAATCAGGTACGTCGACCAACAAAGCTCTTCTTTGGTTCGAAAGTTATCTTACAAACAGAAAACAGCCCACTAGTGTTGCAACTTCATTGTTAGAAACACTCACTACTACACATGGCGTACCTCAAGCCTCAATTCTCGGCCCAACGCTTCTCAGCCGGTACATGAATGATCTACCGAAGTCATAAAGTTTAGTAACACCGAATCTTACGTTGATGACACTAAGATATATTTTTTGTTCGCGTCAAAGGGCATTGATTCATGACTACGCCAAGTTAGTGAGGATCTCAAACATGTTTCAGAGTAGTGTTGCGCTAACCACCTTCTGATCAATCCTTAAAAAAACCATGTTTTCCTGATTCGGGTGAGGCCAGGAACATCACCGTACCTTTCCTTGGTAAAGACCTAGTACCTGTAACTTCTGTCAAAGATCTTGGTGTCAAAACTGACTCGAACCTGACCTTCAATGGCCATATCTCTTCTGTAATCACTAACCTCATCTTTTGTCAACATTAGCTCTAATAAATAGAGTACGACACTTGTTCTCTAAAGATGTACTGTGCATAATCCTAAATTTCGTAGTATCTAGCCAACTGTTCTACCGCTCGACAGTATGGTCTGGAACTTCTGAAAAAAACCTCCATAAAGTACTACTCACGCAAAGCCTTACCCGCCGAATACTTACTAACACAAAAACGTTTGATAACATTGCACCAGTCTTACATGAACTTGGTTGGCTCACCATCGAGGGGCTACTATGCTTACGTGATGTAACTATGATCTTTAAATGTCTCAATGGTCTTGTGCCCAGCTACTTTAGTACTAAGTTTGTATAACGCTCAGAAACTCACTCTTATTGCATGAGAGAGAACAATCAACTTAACCTCTCTCAGCGCCGAACCTCCGCCGCACAGTGTACTTTCCGTTTCAGGGCTTCTAAATATTGGAACAGTCTTCCCAATGATATTAGAAACTCTGCCTCTATTGAGGTTTTTAAAAGGATTGCCAGGCTTGAGATAATCAGAAGGCGGAAATATAAAATTTACCCATAATCTGTTGATCTTTGTAATTAATTGTTTATTAGCTTTTTAATAATTGTAGTTCTAGCATTCAAATTTAATTGTCCTTTATACAGTATGTAATTTTACCTATTTCGCACATTATACTTAGTGAATAATCTTGTTAATTAATTCTGAAAATCCAATTGGGAGAATTATTAAATGTATTATATTGTATATTTGCTTCTTGGAACAGTTATTCACAGACAAAAGTCGTTGGCTGACCCTGTTAAAATAAAGTCGCTAAAGTCGTTGCCAGTCGGGCCCCATCCCTAGATCCATCAGTATATACGGTAATGCCATACAGATAAATACAAGTTTTTTATGGCATTCTTTTTGTTACGCACTCACTATGGAGGTTTTGTGATTACTTGAGACAGGTTGCACCACCAACTATACCAAACTCGGTTGTTTCAAAGATGGAAGGAACCCTCGACCATTACCTGAGCTCCTTTTTACTGATCGCGATGCCCAAAGCAAGGTATCGAGTAATAAGACCATCGACTGGAACAACTGGGATACATACATAGTTGACTTGGTTTGTAGATGTGCTAACGCGGCAAAGGCTAAGAAGTACTCCCACTTTAGCATCCAATATTTTGGTAAATGTCAATATTATTGTTAAAATCGTAGTGATTTCCTTTTAGCAGATTATTAAACTGAGATAATTAAGCCTCAAGAATTTATATGATGGTTAAAAGGACTCCCTGATGATGCCGCGACGACACAGCCGATATGATCCTAAAGTTTTGCCCATCCTTTTTTCCTAACCAAACCTTAAACCGACTATTTTTAATCTCTAAAAGCTAATTACCGTCGGTATTTACTCGAAAAACCACGTCAGCGCGTATTAAATCCTGGATTAAATTTTTGCCTTTTCGACTCTCATTCGGCTGCCGCTTTTATTCAAAACTAAGTGTTGCAATCAACAGTACGTTATCTTTCCACTTTTTCGAGGTTTTATTGTAATAAGACAACAACACAGCATAGTAAGCAACAAGAACATTAAAAACAATCAGCATTAAGAATTTTAGGGGTAGGGCGCTTCGTTTTGGTTATTGCCAACGGGCAGCCTCTCGTCTTTGCGAGGCGGCAGCATAATAAGGCCGTGGGCGAAAGTTCCAAGGCAGAATGAATCTCGAAGGGATGTGACAGAAAGTAGAAGTGTAAGGTAACTTTTATGAAGTATTGCAGAAAAGAGAATATAAGAAAAAATATACTAGGTAAAGTCAGTATTTCTAATTCTTTTTTTTCGAGGATTCTAAGTTCGCTTATAAGACCACTAGATTTTATGCAAAATGACCTGTGTGCAACTTCGGACAATGACGAATTTCAATATCTCGAAAAATATGCTATGTAAAGTTGGGATTTCATATTCTTTATGCAGTGGAACAGTTTCGCTCACTATTTTTCTGTTAATTTTTGCTAATGAAATCGAATAGTGTTCAAACCATTTTTTATAAATTAAGGTAATTCATGACATTTCTAAACAAACTGAACAGGGCGCGGGTATAGGTACAATCTTTGCTCGTTGGCACTTAGCGATAACTATGATTAGTTTAGTACTAATGGTCTTACAATAAATACGAGCAGTTCTAAGTTGATGAATTACGTTCCTCTCATAAACAAACTAACAGGTTTTTCTACCAACGAAAATAAGGTTAGCAATGTTAGCGTTGGATGTGTCATTGAAAAAGTGGAACTTCTGTTATGTGTTTAAAACGATAGAGATGTTGAGAGAACATTTGAACAGGGCTCCTAAATGATTAATTCAATGTTCATGTCATTGTGTGTTTTGCTTGATAGGTGAGTGTTGGTCTGGACCAGATGCCGCCGAGACATACGATAAAGATGGCCCGTCTGAAAAATGCTTCACGAAAGGTTCTATGCAAAAATGTAATGTCAGTGATAATGTAGAGTGTGTTGGCGACCTTAACACCAATTCCGTCTATGGAATCAATGTGCAAGGTAATTACAAGTTTTTCTCGGAATTCCTAACATAAACTGGTTCATCGAATATCAAACGAGCACCACTGCTGAGAAATGTCATAGACTTGGATCAACCTCTCTATTTCGAGGGGCAAGCGAACTCCCTTTCTTTCCCTGCTCCTCGCTCTCTCTTGCCAAATGTGCGTGACTACTCTCGATATACTAAATGGAGAGCTTGCTGGCAGACTCGAAATGCTAAGATTTCCATCATTGTGAGAGATAGTTGGTTCGTCATCATAATGGCTTTGTCAATTCCAAGCCCCAAAGACATTTGTCAATTGCTGACACCTACCTTTGACTCTCGACATCTGCGCTGAAGCGAACAAATTGAAAAACTCTCGTCTTAAGCCAAACCGTCAATTCCAATTACTTTTGCGAGATTTACTTCCAATCATCGGAATAAATCGCTCTGTTTCTAGGTAAAAAGCAACCTTCCGAAGCTTTTGCTTTAAAATGTCGAAAAAGCTTCACCATAATTTCGTCTAATGTTAAACACATCATAAAACAGTTCGAAACAATGACACTTTTTAATTAAGGGGGAATTTTGGAAGACAGCACTAAAAGAAATAACAAAATCAAAAATATCAATGAAAGAAAGCACGTAAAATGTTCTGGCTTTTTCCCTTGAAAAAGTTGGGATATAAACGTAACGCTTTCGCAAGGACTAATCATCTCATGCCATGATAAAAACAAACTGATATTTTAACGATCAGCTTTTCAATCAAAACCTTTCAGGAACACCTCCGTCCTGCAAGATTTTTCGTAAACAATATATTTTCGAATTCAGTTGAAGTTGTGCCTGGTTAAATGATGAGAACAGAGATGCAAATCTCAAAAGATGGTCCATCCATCCTCGCCAAAATATCTAAATGCGTCAAGTGGAACCAAACAGAAAAACGAGACTGCTATATCCTATACGTTTTGGCTACGTGGCGGTTAGCGGTTAAAGTTGCGTCATGACTTGGATTTCTGCCTACTCTATATTTGGCATTTGGAACGACCCAAAGGTAAATTGGTTCCACGCTATACACGATGCAAAGGGAAAAAGCCTTCAAACCCTTTCCTTGATTCTATCAAAAGACCTCAAATGATCGATCGTTGACTTTTTTTGCTAAAAAGCAAGCGAAACAGCGCTTGTAGCTGCAGTTGTGGTTAAATAAAACCAGAAGTCAAGCCAGAGGCAAACCATATTACTCTTTCAATCACTTTCACTCGTGCACGATATTATAGCTATTTTCCACATTACTAGCCACATTAGGTCGCAGCAGCGCAATCGACTAATTCGTCAACTAAACGTTTGACAGGTGCACCCAACGACGGTTTCCTTCAAAATATGTTGAAAACACTTTTTAGGCTATCCAGAGTACTTTAAGATATCTAGAAATGCATTCTAAGCGGCGCTACAAAACTTTTATCTGTTCGGTTATCCTAGGGGAAGTTAAGTCTTTTCGAAATTACAAGGGCTTCAGTATTATTTTTCCGAAAATTTTAGGTGTAATTTAACATTTTACGAAAGTGAGAATTTTTCTGATTCCTCTCTCCTACACATTTTAGAATCCGAAAATTTTAGGTCTCCTTTTTCTAAGAAAAATAGTGTAAAGTGGGTAGTAAAATATGGAAAATTAAACTTCAGAAAATCGTAGGGAATTTATTAGATAAGCTTCGAAAATTGTACATGAATAGAACGTTCATCTAGAAATTATTAGCCGTCCTCAAGCAAAAGAAAATTATAGGCAGCGTTTGCTTCTCCGGACAGATATTTTAAAGAAAACAGTCGTTGGTTGCCCCCGGTCTGATCTTGCAGGTCGCGGGTGGCAACCATCTTTATAGCTGTGGGGGGAGGGAGGCGAGACAAATGGAGGGACTGTCGTAACATCACTAATGATCCCTGCAGCTCACTTTTACGGAGCGCGTTGTTCCAGCAACGCTGGCAATTTGATTGGTCATTAGACAATAGATGTTAATTTGCCTTGACCAGCAACAAGTTGCCAACACTGACAAGTCTAAGCGTTCGCTTAACTTTAAATTTTTGTGTTATTTTGGATCTTCATCGTTTTGGGCCCACGAAACTGGTGGAGGAATATATTTATTTCCGATTGGCGTGAGATAGGGCAGACTCTTCTTGACCTTTCATGGAGGAGGGATGATATAAGACCCGTTTGCTCACAAGCATTATTTTCAAAACCCGATGCTATTGCGAATTTGCAAGGCAAATTTTGCAAACACACGCAGGATTTTTGGTATTTTGAAGATCAATCACGCAAGCCAACATGTTTTTGATGCAGCTCGGCCAGGGAAATTTTGTTAATTCCAAAAATCTAGGAGTAATATGGTTTTTGCCAAAGGAATTGAAATGAACGCTACAAATACTGTGTCAGAAATTTATGGCTTTTTATTAGGAGTTTTAATCATTCTAATTGGTGCTGAAGAGAGCATGCTTTCACGTAGATTGCGAAATGTTTCAACTGTGCATGTTTGCCGATTTTATTTGGAAAAAATCTTTTATTCTAGTAACTGCATTTATAATCACTGTTTCGAAAGGAGATATTTGCAAACATACGAAATCGATGCTAAATCTGTATGGTATGTTTTTGACGGTAAGGGGAAGCTTGTTAATTAATGACTGGTAATAAGACGTGAAACTCCTGTCACGTCCCCTGCCCCTCAAAAAAAAAAAACAACTTTGAAGCCAATCTGGCCATCACCAATCCTTTACTTGGCTCTCCGTCCAAGTAATATACTTGTGACCCTCTTGTGAATCCAGAATTTGTGTATCTAACCACTTACATATGCAATTCACCCCAAACAGATGTTTTTTTCCTAGGGTTTTAACAGCGCTTTTTCCTTCATTTCCAGCACCAAAACCTCGTATTACGGAAGCAACTCCATCGCTTCCATCCTTGACGGCCGTTACCACGCCTCCGCCTATAACCAGTAAGTTGCCTGTCGTACAGACAGGGAGAATGTTTATATTAAGAGGCCTTCAATCATGATCTTAATAGTTTTAATTTCTGTTTTTATGTTGACACTTTTTTGATCCTTTCCTTCTCTTTGCTCAAATTTGGAAATGAACGTGACTTGGCGATCTGACGTAAAGGATCGATAGCCTTCTATTTTGTCGCTCCATTCTAAAAATAATCTCAAGTCTAGGTCTTAGTAAAGGAGAACCATTGTACCGTTTTATATTGCAGCTTTTACTTATTTGCCCATAGGCTAAACTAAAACTGAAAACGCTTCAAATTTTTACTTCAATGGGTGGTACAAGATTTATAATTTAAGTTATTTTAGCAACTGCTAAATCCGTGTGGCTAGAGTGGGACTGTTTTAGTTTAAGGATCTCTACTCTGTAGAACAGCGACAGTCATTTCAAATGGGACATCATGCAAAACAATCAAGTAACGGTAAGTAAGGTTAAATGGTCTTCCCTGTTCAATATATATTGTACACAAAACAAGAGTTTCCGTACAGTGTGATAAATGTACATGTATACTCATGAATCATGAACCCCAAGGTGTTCTCAGAAAGACTAGAACAACAGTAGTACTGAAAGCGCAGAAATCCGAAGAAACCAAATGATTCGAAACTCAATGTTCCACGTATCCTAACCATATCATAAACAGCACTCGGCTCCATAATCACTATTTCTTTTTATTATAAGGTACTATTATTATTATTGACTCGGTTTTGCTTGCAGTGCCTACTCCAACTCCTTCAAGCACACAAATTATACCTAGTACTTCAGTTACGCCTCCTCCCGATATCTTAAAAGGCAAGTTGTTTTATTATGCGAAGAACCACTCCCTGAAAACAAGTGTCTAAAATGAAAACAATACCGACCACTGGAAGATGAAAACTGGTATTTGTAGAATACCTGCTAGACTAAGCCAGGAATTTTACATTTCCAATCAAAATAAACATTTTTAGTTGTTGAAAATATTTTGAATGAAGACTAATATTTAAGGGATCAAATCTCTAATGATATAAAGTATTATGTCGATCAATGAAAGACGGTGTCATCACTATCCTCAATGTGCATAATCCTTTTTGTCATAATCAGTCACATCCGATAATTGTTTTATTATTCATTTAAAATAATTTCTTTTTGACAAACAAGCTAAAACGTGCTTACCTCCATCGATGTTAAGTTCATCTTCAATTGCCTGTTTATCGGCAAGTTTAGGAGATAAAGGGTTGACTGTTCAGTACTGCAATTATTCTCCAAATAGCAGATTTCGTCCCCCGAGTTGTCTTGCTGTTCTTGCTATGTCTTTAGCTAATAGTTCATTTATTTTTTCGTTGCGAAACGAGTGAAATGTTCCGCCATTTTGTACACACTACTAAAGCAACTCAATCTCGTGCCCTGGTCTTCTCGGTTAACAGCTCATTTTTCTGGCAATTATTCTGCACAGTTGACGTCATTTTCCACATTGCTAAATAGTCCATTTCCACGATGACATCATTTTACTACTAAGACCAGAATCCTTCAGGGTTTTGCTTTCTTGTTCAAATTAGGGCTTTTGTTATTTAAACCTCGCTGTGATTTCAAAATTTAAATATGAAAAGAAAAACGAAAAGGGTTCTGGTCGTAGTAAAATGACGCCATCGTGCAAATGGCCTATTTGGTCGACAGTAACTGGTAATAATGAATTACACGTGGGATTTTAGCCTATCAGAAACGGAGAAATATCTTGAATGATTAATAATAGCATTACTATTTACCATTTTGTGGAGGATGTAAACAAGAAACAACAAACTTTTCTTTCTGTTTGGTATGAAGTTGGATATTGTTCTCAGGAATTCAACCTCAGAAGAGTTCGCCTACAATTGACAAAGTAATTAAGTGAGTTGGAATAAACACGATGGAGATTGGAAGAGCGGTAATTCACTTTTTAAGTGACGTTTTCGCTGCTTTCGCCGCCATCGGATCTTTAAAAGGTCCTAAAATGTAAAATTAAGGCTCCTGAATACAATAAACACCCGCTTATAAGAACAAATGGATTAAGAACATCAGGCTGAAATTTGGCCCATAAAGCATTATATCTATAAGAACCAGCTCAATCTGATAAATAAAACATGTTCTTATATAATAAGAAGAGAGTGACGGAATAAGAAAGTAGAATCAGTGGAACTGAAGTATAGTAGTCTGTTCGACATTACATGAACGTTAGAAAGACAGCCGAGCAGTCTAAAAGCTCTATCAAATGCAACTGTTGTGGTAAATCATTCAAAGGCAAGCAATATCTTGACAGCCACGGGAAATTTAAGCACCGACAGCCAAGAAGGGATCATAGCAGGGCTCAAGATTTGGAAATAATATGTCCTCTAACATCAACAACTTGCACTTGACGACCTCACCGAATGAGGCAGATGCTTACAGTTCACAACTGCTTGAAGATCAGTCGTCGGAATCCATTCCTATTGCTAACTTAACTTCTAGTAACATGTTATCTGTAGTATTTTTGAAATAAGAACATATTGAGAACATCTTCAGGTTGATTTCCCACCAAGCACCCGATAAATAAGAACTAAATCAGCTTTAATCCCGAAACCATGTGTTCTTATATGCGTGTGTTTACTGCATACTAATGTCGTTTCCATTATTTTAAGATAGGTTGTAACATCACATATACCAAAGTCGGCTGTTTTAAGGATGACAGAAAGAAGAAAAGGCCATTACCTGATATTCTTTTTACTGACCGCGATCCTTCAATGAAGAAGAAGTGGAGCGGGTATAGAATCGACTGGAAAAACTGGGATGAATACATAGTTGATGTGGTGTGCAGATGTGCTAATGCGGCAAATGCAAAGAAGTACTCTTATTTCAGCGTCCAGTATTATGGTGATTATTTCTCAGTGTTCGCTTGTTCCTTTTACATTATCAATAATTTTAAACTAATCAAACCTTTAATACCACAAGTCAGTAAACCTGGGAAATTTGCGAAAGTGGCCTCTTTCAGTCACAGTCCAATCAAAACATGTTTGCATGCAAATTAGTTTTGGCCTAGAGCATTTTGTTTAAACGTCTTCGTTTTAGGCCTGTTGTCGAATTACCTTTTTATGTGCTTAATTTAATGCCTATGGAGCCTATTGTCATGACGTCACGGCGGCCATATTGGTGTTCCAAAACAATGAAACGGCGGCCATATTGGTGTTGCAAACAAATCCTGAGGGAGTTGAACTCTTTTCTTAAGTAAAAAATTTCTTTTTTTCCCATGAATTTTCCTAGATGCTGGGCACGTGGGTGAATACGTGCTATAAAGCGTTTTCACTCAAGTGGCCAGCATCTATGCAAATTTTTTGAAAAAAAGGAAAGCTTTTGCATAAGAAAGGAGTTGGCCGCCGTTTCATTGTTCCCAAAACAATGAAACGGCGGCCTTGTTGGTGTCCCAAACCAATCCTGTCTTTTGCTCCAATAAATTTGTATAGATGCTAGCCATGTGAGTAAAAACGCTCTATAAGGAAAATACATTCTTTTCGCAAATAGCCCACGTTCGATATGTCTATGTCTCCGAGGCTTTCTGTTAATTTTTTTGTATTTGGATTGGTTTTCTTTGCTATCAAGTCTCTTCTGGGAATTGCGAGACAATGGAGTCGGAAAAAATTGCAATTTTGACTCGAAATCTCTGAGTCATGTTAGAATGTTAATAGGGCCATTTATACGAGTATGTCTTTCTAAGACGAGAACAGCTCGTATAAATGGTTCGCGTCTTATTTCTGTTCTTGACTCGTTTTCCTGTGAATGCTGCCCGTAGCATCGGCAATCCAACGTGGCGCGCCAGAAATTAACGCATGCGTACTATGCGTTCGCGTCTTATGTAAGACGCGAAGGTCATTTATACGAAGTTTTTCTCGTCTTAGCTAAGACGCGTCTTCTCTAAGAACAGGTGTTAAGGGCTGTTCTAAAACAAGACGCGTCTTAGCTAAACCGCGTCTTATCTTAGACGAAATGTGCTGTTTATACGGAAAGTTCGCTTCTTATTTTAGACGCGTCCTATGTAAGACGCGTCTTATTTTTCCTCGTATAAATGGCCCTAATATATCGACCGTGGGCTAATCTCATTCGGCACTTGTGAAGTAGGATGTTTTCAGGGCTTTTAAAAGGTATATGCGATTTTTGTACTGCGTCAGGTTGGCATAGGACGTCGTTGACTTTTGCGTAAGGTTAACAAATTTTGTTCAGTATATATATGGTCAATATACATGAAACATTTATGAGCTTGTGAAACTCTTGTTAGGTGAATGTTGGTCTGGACCAGAAGCCGCTGACACATATAACCGAGCTGGCAAGTCTAAAAAATGCGTCACGAAGGGAGTCAATGTGCCGTGTAACCTCAACGATAATGTAGAATGCGTTGGCAAACAAAACACCAATTTCGTCTATTACATTACTCCTAAAGGTAACTCTGTTTGTAAAATAATCATGGTCTACGCACCTTAAGGTGTTTCGATACAATTTTTCCCCCGATTTTTTTTCATTCGATTGGTAGCGGAGTACCGTGGGTAAAAAAATCAAGTAATCTACCCATCCGAGAAAATTTGGTAATCACGTAACCATACGCCCGCTTGTCCATCGCCCCGCACCACAGGACAACCAATGTAAAATAACTCAATCAACAGGTATGGTAACCCAAATGCAACTCGAGGTTATTTTGGCGGGAAATCGCATAACCACCGGCGTCTTGTAAAGCCGAGACAACTAAAGAGTCAATAAAGACGAAAACGGAATGCGGGAATTGTTTCTGTATCCGTGTTGTCTAAAGTAGTTAGCTAAGATTAATTGTCATGTCCACAAATTTGGAATATAGAGCAGGAGAAAGACAGAGAAAAAGAGAAAAGAGGCGGCAGGCCAGCGAAGCTCACCGAGAAAAAGGGAGACAGAGATCTAGAGCGAGGGATAAAGAAAGAAGACATTTTTTTGTTGGAAGAACATCATGAAAATTTCGTAGCCGCGGTGACAAAATAAGAAATTCTAGCGGCCACCAATTAAATGCCAGGTGAAAATGAGCGGCAGTGAAAAAAAGTGAACGAGAACACGTTCGACATTTCCTCTATTAAAAGAAAAAATAAGAAGTTTCTGGAAGTTTCTCGTTTTAGTCGATCGTGCAAAACAACGGCAAAGAATTTACAAAAAAGTGTGGTGCACGTGCAAAGTTGCTTTTTTGCTAATTAGACCTATCGTTGTTTTTACCTTTCACCGGCGTTGTCTTCGCCGCTTAGCATTACACGATTTTATATTTTGTTTTTGAACGAACTATAAATGTTATCGAGAGCTTCGCTTTAAGCCCTGGCTAAATCTATTTAGTAAAATCCAACAAGTGGGCCATTATCAATGCTGCGTTCTGATTGGTTGAGGTACTACTTAACAATTATTCCTCGAGCCCGAATGGGCTCTTAGTCAATAGCCCATGAAGCCGACGGCCGAATGGGTTATTGACTCACAGGCCATGAGGGCGAGAGGAATAATTGTTTTAGTAAAATCCAACTAGTTGGTCAAAAATATCGAGAATAAAAAAGGTTCAGCTAGTTAAAGCTAGACTTTAATCCTTTTTTGCCGCCAAAGAGCCTGCACTTTTTGCTACTAGTGGGCTATAACATATAGCCTAGTAGTAGCTCAACCAATCAGAACGCAGCATTAATAATAGACCACTAGTTGGATTTTACTAATAGGGCTATATGTTATAGCCTACTAGTAGCGAAAAGTACGCCCTTTTTGGCGGCAGAAAAGGATTAAAGTCTAGCTTTAACTAGCTAAAATTTTTTTATTCTCGATATTTTTGACCAACTAGTTGGATTTTACTAAACAAAAAATCAAATCGCCGCAGGGCTTGGTCTTGGCCTCTTCCTCAAGGCTCTTACATGTAGCTAACCAAGACAGGTTGAGTGTTTAATATCTTTCCGTTCATTAGAATCTTGGAACCGCTGCACGTGAACATAGTGCACATGGCTTCCATTTCCTATTGACCACTCCAGAAAATACCATAACATATCATCATGCTCTTTGTTTGTCACCCCAAAATTTTGCAGAAGCATTGTTTTCAGTTTCTCTCAGGCCATTTTAACTCCCAAGAGAAACTGAAGACAATACTTATACTAAATATTGGGGTGACAAACAAAGAGCATTATGGTATGTTATGGTATTTTCTGGAGTGGTCAATTGGTCAAGTGCGTTCTCAAGTGTGGTGTAGACCAGACTTGGCGACGAACTTCGGCTTCTTTGAACTACGAACGTTTCCGTGGTCACCCAGTAAAGTTGAAGTGGGCACATTTTAACCCTTCACACTCAAAATAGGTTCCAATTACACTTAGATTATACTTGATATATAGCTCTAGTGTAAGGCCAACAATTGACAATATTCGTACTGAAATGTACTATTCATGGAGGTATGTATGGTCCGCATTTATTTGGAAAAATTAGCACAACGTAACAGTAAATGTTTTAACCCGGAGTTTTGGGCGTTTCGTAGGCCAGGTTGGTAAAAATTACGTGATGAGGTTTAAAAAGCATTTTGTCAAGCTGTTCTAGAGATATACAGAAAAGCGTTAAAAGTCAAAATTTAGAATAAAGTTTCATTTAGACAGGTGGTGACAGAAAACAGTTGAGTTTTCAGGATCGCATGAAAGAAAGTACACCAAATTTTCCAAGCAGCAAAATATGATATTTGGAAGCATTCTGACGCTACTTAGGATTGATTTGAGTTATTTAGAACTTTTTCTATGAAAAAATTTATCACGGCTATTGAAAATATCAGGTTAGAAATATATTTACGTTTAATTTGAATTCAAACAAACGGAATTTTTTATTTCTCGCGCAGGTTATTTGCAAATACCCCGTTTTAAGTTCCTGGTGTAGGATTTTCAGTAGCAGGTCAAGATTTCGCAAAATTCGGCTTTTATCGATTTCCATTTTTTTTATTGTTGACATACTGATATTGATTTAACTTAAAACTACATTTTGACAAACTTCAATCCAAAATCAATTATTGGTTAAAATTTCATAGCGATTGGACAAGGATAAAATCACTTTTAAGGCGAATGAAAAATATTGGTATGGTCTCCAAAAACTGTATCGAAACACCCTAAGTAGTCGGGTATTTAGAAACTAAAATACCAAACTACATGCAACACTCGCGTCACAGGTAAAACACTTATCACAGGCACACCACTCGTAACAGGTACAAACAAACGTTAGAGAATCAACAGTACAGGTAGAATAATAACGCGAACGCCAAAATGAGAATTAATTACCTTACAACTCTCTCAAATGGAACGCACAAAAATATGGCAAAGCATTGTTTTAGATGTTTTTTCTTCATATATGTCCCAAAGATTGACCCTCTTCATAGGCGACTAACAGGAGCACGTGATCAGACAAACGGAGATGTTTTTGGATATGTTTTTTATTTTGTCCAGGGCTCATAAACCGCGTTTACGGTTCATTTTTAGTGTCCCCTGAACTACCTGCAGGCCCAACAGTACCTCCAACCCTGCCAGTCACGTTGCTTCCTCCGGTGTCGAAGGGTAAGTAAAAATGGAGCTTAAGTGCCAGTTGGTTTAAACAAACGACTTGTAGTCTGATGTAATAAATTCAGTTACACATTGCTTGAGACTGTAACGAAAGTAATCTGATAGACTGTTCACAGTCGCCTATTTTCCCGTAAGTTCTTAGAGATCGACCACTTTGCTTTGACAGGCGGCCATAAAGCTAGATAGCCACCCGTATCTCTCCTGACGATCTTACGAAAAAATAGGGGACTGTGGCAGTCTAGCACTCTGATAGAACACAATACAGTTTTGAAAGGGCCAAGTAAAAGCGGTTCTGACTCTAGTAAGAAATGTTATTCTTTTGTTTGAAAAAAAAAGAAAATGGATTTTCCAGGCCAATACTTTTGAATCTGCTATGTTCTCGACAATATTCTTCAATCCGCTTTGTGCTGCGCCTGAGTTCCTGTGTTTTGACCTAAACCCTCAAGAAAGTGTTCATGTATACGCCCTCACGTTCTTAAGGGATCTAGGAGTATGTGATGCGTCAATAGTATGACGTCAGAGTTTTCGAAACTTGCCTTGCTGCGGTGCACAGAAAACACTCTACGTTCGCGAGAACGTTTTAGAAACTTCCGGTCTTTAGCTTTTTATTGTAGGGTGAAGTCCAAAACAAAATAAAAGTGTATACTCTTTTTAAACCAAACCAATTAGTGAGAATAGCGTCTTACATCTACTCTTAAATATTCTTTGTTGTATTTTAGTTTGCAATATAAAGTATGAAAAAGTTGGGTGTTTTGTCGATAAGTTGGCCAACAGCCAAGAGCTTGCACTGCCGGAAAAGATTCTTAACGAAAACCAGTTGGTTAAATGGGATAAATGGAATTCTTGGCTACCAGAGTTTGTCTGCAGGTGCGCCAATATAGTCCACAAAAAGAACTACCAGGTCTTTGGGATTCGAAACTTTGGTTGGTATATTTGTATTTTTATCTTGTTTTTCATAATACGTCAAAATAAATGTTTAGAACCATCTAATATTTGAAACAAGCCAAAAATCAAACATCGCCTTTAAAGCGCCTTAGTAAAAAGCTATGGTGAGTTAACATCACACAAACCTGATTAGAACGAGCGAGATCAAAAGATTTTGCTAACTAATCGTGGTGCTAAAGCCAAAAAACAATCGCTGTATAGCTCGAGATAGCGATCATATCTGAATGGATCTTAAGTTCAGGTTTTAAGCTTCAAATTTATTTTGCAAAACAAAAGAAAAGTTTTACAAAGAGTGTTTTACAAAGTAAGAGTTTTATAAAGGAGAAAAACGTAAGTCATGAAAAGAAAACAATCTTTACAATTGCATATATGTGCTTACAAACGTAAAAAAAAAAAGAAAAGAAATAATGGGGATATCTTGCATGATCTACTTTTTGTTATTTAATCCAGTTTAAGATTAACCATGATTTTGTAATTATCTACAAAGTTATCTTCGGTTTTCAAAATATCTAATGCTCCGCAGTCCTTTATTCAGTATATATTTTTTGTAAGTTGTCAGTATGTGTCAAGCCCTCCCAGTTATATGCCCATCAACATGTACATGCAAACAAAAAAACACATCTGATTATAGCCCCCTCCAGGATATTAATAGAGACGGAGTTAACTGCGCTTTTCACAAACACGCGAACTCTAAAATTCAAAAGCCACCTTCACAATTGCGTTTTTCGTTGCCGTCAAACATAATTACGATCACAAGCAATGAACCTTGAAACACAGAAACACACAAAACGGATCGAAATCCACCAATCACAGATCACAAACCTTGACCTTTTGAACCCGTTAAAGCAACGTTCTGTTAAGATGATTGACGGCAGCGAAGAACGCAAACGTCAGTTGGTTTTTGAACTGCAGAGTTCGCGTGTTTATGAAAAGCGCGCAGTAAGCTCCACGTATACGGCAAACGGCAAACGTCAGATTCAAGCTGAGAATTTCTTCTCTCTCTTCTTTCTGATTTCTTGAGCTTTTTGACAATTGTGTTTTATTCTCCTTTCATTATTCGCGTATTAGGCCGGTGACTGTTCTGTTCTTGGTAACCATTGTGTTTGATGAGTTAACACCAAATGTCTCGTGTATTCACTCGAAACCGATCATTGCTTGTCGTGTTTGCTGCGGGAGCAATGCAAGAGCAGTAAAAATGTTTTATTTCGCTCGATTATGATGTCACTTGAAAAAAGCGTCCCGAATTGAAAATTTCCTGTATACAAAGTAATTCACTTCGGACCATGCTGAGAAGCGCTGCCTACTTCTGATTGGTCACGTATTGACAGCTGACGTCATCGGATTAGTTAGGAAATT